CCTAATGGGCAGATGTGTACCTTCGTGTGCAATTCTGTGCATGTTTAGACAGTTTGAGATTGCACTAGGGTCTTCAGACTGTGAATTGCTGGAATTTGCTGCTACAAGATGTGGAGAGAGCCACTAGTTTAGAGGGCTAGACAAATGAATAGAGGGTCAGTGGCTATGAGACCTGAAGGCAGAATGATACCTCCACTATCAGAGACAGGGATGGGATGGGGATCATGGATTGTGGGAGGGGGCAGTTGTCCTCATGTCCTGCTTATCAGCTCCTTGGAGGTAGCTCCAGTGGGAAACAGGATGCTGGACTAGACAGATTGGTTTTTGCTCTAATCCAATAGGGTTGTTCTTATGCTTTAATGTCTGACAGCCTCACATAGACTTTAATGAACCGCACAAAGCCGTCAATTACTCTAATACAATGGAATACAAAAGAAAGAAAAGCAGAGTGATTGATAATTAGTTATTATTCAGTCTTGTGAAAAATGGGCATTAAATGGCATCCTGTAACCACATATACATGGATTCAGATACAGTTTTTAAAAGCAGTATAATCAAAGCAATGTGTTTTAATCTGTATATGGACCATCTCCATACAGATTTAACAATCATTTATTTGAACTTTAGTGTATTTTATTTTTGAGTCAATTCAATATATCTTTTTTAAAAAATTAGTAATACCCAAACAGTTACAACGGTAGTATTTTCTGTGCTGATTACAGTGTGCAAAAAAGCAAGTCATTGGGTTGGAAGCAGACTTGAGCAAAACTCCTCTGCATGGAGTCTTGCTCAAGTCTTGCTTCCACCTCTGCATGGAGTCTTGCTTCCACCTGTGCAAATTCCCCCATCCCTCTTCATCCCCCTTGTACCCTGTGGAACACTACACTGATGGATTGGGGACCACCTGGAAGAGTGCAGTAGGTGATGCAGGGAAAGGGGGAGATCAGCAGAACCCCCCATTTCTGTCAGGGGATCCCCTTCTGTTTCCATTCTTGAAGAGCAAAGTCTGGCTCCAACCTATTTTCTGAAGCAGGGATAAACAGTATTCCTGTAATATTTTGATGAATAAATATTTAGTAACTGGTAACTACATTCCTTTTTTAATCTGTTTAATGCCTCCCTTCTCCTCTCCTGCTGGTTATTATTTAGCCCCTAAGGAAAGCTTTGTATCTCTCCAGTTATTCTTTGGATTAATGTGCAGTTAGCTTGGCAGCTTTTTTTATTATTGCAATTCTTGTCCCAACTGACAACCAGTTCAGGCTTTTCCTATCCTTGCTTGAGCGCACACATATTGCCTGGTTTACAGGAGAGAAAAATAACAATCAGTGCTGTGAGCCTAACTGTGGAAGAACTTGCCCGGAAGCCACTCTAAGATTTGTAGTGTATTGGTTGCTTCACAAGTTTTGTTTCTGCGTGCATGGGGAGGCAGTGGCGGGGCACTTACCTCTGGAAATGAATGCAAAGTTTCTTACTCTGGGGAAAATAATCTTTCAACTTTTGAAAATCCAAGATACTATGGCCATTCCACCAGTGAAAGGATTTTTTCTCTACCTTATAACAATAAAGCTGCTTTTGCTGTGGAGGTGTTTCAGCTGCATTATATTAGATAGAACAGTGCCTTTAAACCTTGGTTGATATTTGAGTGTTTTGAATTTGCCAGTTAAATGTGTTCACTAATCCAGTCCAGGTAATACCTAACCTGGTCCAGGTGAATAAGCAACCATTGATTAAATCAGGAGCACACAGGCTTTTCTGTTTGAAGGGCTGCATGTGTTGCTGTTTCTGGAACCACACACACAAATCCTGACACACAAAGCTGTGGAGTGAAGGGAACACTCTGTGTGAAGATCTCTGGGGAAGCCTGTAGGGAACTCAGGGAACAGGCCAGGAATCCTCTTGTGGGGAGCCACAATAAAGACCAGCAGGTGCTACACCTTGCTCCCAAGCCACTGGTTCTGCTCCCTTGCTATCCATACATCCAGAGGATCAACAGCTAACTCACTTCAGCATTGCATGGACCTTTAAAGGATACTTCCTTCTCCAAACAAATTTGGAAGAATTAATTAGTCCATAAAAGTGATGCTGTGTGTTACAAGATTAATAACCCACCTGAAATCCAAAGGGTTCTGTGCTGTTAAAAAACCTAGTTCCATGCTGAAAGTCACCTTTTCTGTATTGTAATGATCCAGGCATGAATTAGAAAATGAACTGTGGTAATGGAATTTTTCTCATGTACATGCACTGTACGGAGGTTGACGTGTGTATTTTTCTTTGCTTTGACCAAGCCCAACCCCTGCCTATGAGGTTTCTTTATTTTTACTTTATTCAGCAACTTTACCAAGAAACTGGGAAATTTTATTGCTTTTACTCTCCAAAATTCTACAAAGAAAATACTCAGATACTATCTTCTAGCTGCTAAACTAAATAGAGCATCACTTCTTTATTTGGGAAGGTAGTTGCTTTTGTCATAAGTGTGCTAAACCTGTTTTTAAAACTGCAGTGGAGCCAGTATGTTTAATTTATTAATACATTCATTGTTGCTTTAAATTGTATGTTTACATTATTTGATATTTGTGTTAGATTATATTGATTATGTATTTGGATGTGAGTCTCTTATCCTGCAAAACTACACATCACTCAGAAGAAAGTCACACAGACCCACTTCACACGTAACAGTGACAAATCATGGATTCATTAGCTGCAATTAGATTGTTACCTTTGGGTTGTCTAACCCACAATGACCTATAGTATCCAGGTTCAGACATTACACAACAAACCAATTGGCCTGATTGTATGTTGAATATTCAAATGGATATAGAATATGTCTGGCATTGAAATCCATGGGGCTTACTCCTAGGTAAATGGGTAAAAGATAGTGGCCTAAGTTATCCTTGATGCTCAGCACTGCTAGTCCCTACTGTATAAAAGGCTTCTCTCAATAAATAGTAGAATATAAACATGTCATATCCAGAATATTCTTTCTTGAAACACTAATATGTAGGGTTGCTGTATAAATGAGGGGCATGATCCAAAGGTTGAAATCCCATTGATTTTAATGGGAGAGATGTAAGCCTGTACTAAGCTTTCAAATGAACTCAGAAGAATTTCAAAGTGCTTCACTTTGCCTGGATTGTGCCCCAGTTCGAGTCTTGTGTCAACTTCTATATTTTTTACTCTGAGAGGCAATGGATTGGATCCAGATCTTACATAGAGTAGACCCACTAAAACAAGTGGAACTGAAGTTGGTTATGAGTAAGTTTAGTCCCATTTATTTCAATGTATCTACTAATCTAGATCAAGCCCAATGATTGTCCAAGTCTACTCCATTTAGTGTCATTTTTTTACAGTGAGTTTATTGCTCCAGTAAATAGTATCATGCCTTGTGAATTCTGAGAGTTTGGTTTTCTTTTTAATATTTCCCAAATATTTGCCAGTTTATATAAGGATGCTAATCTCATGCCAGTGCTGAATCTCTACTGTGAAGGACCAGTATGTATATGAAGCTACTGCATTCAAGGCTGCTTGAAGGTTGGGCGTGCTAGATGTGACACTATGCTGTCCACATGTTTCTTTCACCCACTTGCATTTCAACATGCAAATTCTTGTATATCCATTCATCTTCATGCCAGTCCTGTGTGTTCTTTATTAATCCACACCTGCATTACTGTGAGGAATAAACAGCTGATAATTCAGAAACTCAAGACATGATAGGAACAGAGCGACAGCACCATTAGCCGAAGAAGGAGCCTCTGCAGGGTGCAGTGTCCACTCCTCTATCAGCAAGAACACTGCCATAAGTAGCCATTGCCCTTGGACTGTAGATCTAAGGGGTGGCATATTCTGCGCTCTGCCACCAGCCAGGGGTGTTGAGTGCACTCCTTGTCTTCCAAAAGGACCATCTAGGGGCGGAGGGGAAGGGCAGGAGGTAAGCTTCACTTCAACCATTCCCCCTTGTTTTACTGTTTTCCTAGTGCCTACTTTCCTCTTCCCTCCTCATTTCTCTATACTTTCATACTGTGTCCTTTAGTTTGTGAACCTGCAATTGGAGATGGTTTTACAGTGTACAGTGCTTGGAGATTTTATAAGTTACTACTTATAATGATTCATAATTTGTTAGTAGCAGCAGCATTAGTAGCTTTTTTTTCAAATATTGAGCTAGGTGCCACTTTTGATGGAGGGAAAGGTGGGCTTTTATCAGTGCCTGAATGTCATGTTTCAGTTTGGAATTCTCTGAAAGAGACTGGATAAATTGTGGGGGGTGGGGGACACATTGGAATAGTTTATGCAGTTTGTTTACAGGCAGACCTAGTTGGTATTTATTACAATCTGAAATTCCTACCAGCTGATGCGTGTTGACTGACTCTGCTGTGAAAGGAAGTCCTGGTTTTGTTCTGGTTCTTAATAAAAATCCCATTACAACTGACATTAAATGAATCCATTGTTTGCAGCAGCTGAATTTTTTCAAAGGCTTAAAGGATTTCCCAACTGCCTAATTTTACATTGGTAGAAAAATATCGCCCTCTTTCCACATAGCCACAATTCCATTGATCTGAGTTCTTTAAGTTTTGCAACTGGATAATATCATTATCATCTAACACAGTCTTCCTAACCTGGGGCCCTCCAGATGTACTCAACTGTAACCCCGTGTGCTGGCTCACACAATCAAATGGCCCACCATGGCTTAGGGTACAGTGAGTTGCAGCATGGACAGATGGCTCCTTTGAATGCTCAGAGCCATGGCTTATGTTGTCCAAACACAAAAAAATGTGGATTACATGAGGGTTCACCCAGAAGTTCTTAAAGGTGGTTTGACTTTCACACAAACCCAGGTTCAGACAAAACAAGAATCAGCCATGGGTTGAATACTGAGGATGGCTCCCATCAGCGGCATGGC